GGGGCGCCGGCGAGGGGCGGGGGCGGGGGACAGATCCCGGGCACGGTTTAGCTGCATGCAATTTAATGGGGGAGGAGGGAGGCACACGCACGAAACCTCGGTGGCGGTGAGATCGCGCTGCTCGGCTCTTTAGTCTTGGCTTTAACCCTCCCCTCGCAGCCTCTTTGCGAGGCATCCCGGTCCCGTGTGCCGCGGGACCCAGGAGTCCGGGGGCAGCCGGGGCTGCGGTGAGCAAAGGCAGCTGTGCCGGCCTTGCTGAGATAAATCCGTGTATATCTCTGCCCCTTGCTTTTTTTGCCCCTCGCCCACTCTTTTTTTTCTCTTTTCCCTCTGTGATTTTGGGGTAGGGGGATTGCTGCTTTTTGCCCCCCCCCCCCACTTTCTCCTCGCCTCTTCCCCACGCTCCCACCGCCCTGCAGCCCCCACAGCCCCCGCTCAGCTTCTTTGCTATTTCACAGCAGCCTCGTGTGGCTCGCATTGACCTTTTGGGGTTTGAAAAAGATCTGTCACCTCTCCTGCGGAATCGGCACCTTATTATGTTTTAAGATTAATTTTCTGCTTGGTTTCGATGCCCGTTGAGCATGTGAAAAAGTGTGCTGTTTCCCCAGATAAGAATGAGAGCGACATCCACGGCTATGTCCTTACATACCTCTACCCCAAAGTCTCTTCTTTTCTCGCTAGGTTTGCTTGCTCTTGGCTTTTGTTTTGTTTCTACCTCATTTCTCCTCAGAAATGAGTTGTCTTGCATTGAAAATTGAAATACTGTCATCAGCAAGTTGCTCTTCAGCAAGATTTTCAAACTCCAGTGAATTACACGTTTATTATTACATTGCAAGTTTATGGCATAAGACCCGCTGGACGTGGAAATGTTCTGCGCCTTAGCGCTTTATGTCCCCAGGCCGCAATGGCGTATGTGCATCGAATACCCACAGCACATCTGAAACGGCGATTGCCTTCATGTGATGCTGGGTGAGGAACAAAGGGCTGCAGATGAGCAGGGCGGCGGAGGATATCCCTCACTCCACCCTGCCGAGCCTGCTTCAGCCTCGGTTTATGAACTGTGCTTTATGTAACGAGAAAATACTTTCTTGCAATGAAACGGTGACACTTTGTTTTCAGGAAAGATGTTATGGCCTATTTTGCTCTGTCGTAAGGTCTCCAAATTGCACTGCTCCTTTTCACCTGAATTCAGAGCCCGTGCATAACTACAGGAACTGTTGTTTCCCGAATGTGGAGAATACGGGTCCAATCTGCAGCCTGTATCAGTATGTACATGAGTAGGAAGCATTTAACGGACTTTGTAGGCTTGAGAGCAAATCCGGTTAAGTCAGCACAACTAGTCCTGCTTAGCCTGGAGCAGCGGTAGAGTCCCGTCTCCCTTTTCCACGTGCACCGGTCGGCACAACGGCGCGTGCGGTAGCCCTTCGCGGTGCGTCTCTCTCCCCTTACGGACGAATTTCCCCGGAGCCGCTGGAAGTGCCCGGGGGGAGCCAGAGGCAGGGCGGCGCGGCGGGCTGGCACGAGAAAGCGCATCCCGCCGCGTGAGGAGCGCCTGCTTTAAGAGCAGCAGGGCGCACGGCCGCTGTGCTGCAAACCCGCCACGTTAGCCCCGCGTTCAGTATATTAGCTCTGCGGATAAAGTCAGGTCAGTCCACTGGAGGAGGCGGGGGGGAGGCCTCACTTGTCTCCTGTTTCTGCTCTTTGGGCAGCCGGGAAGCACACAGCCAGCTCTCACCGACTCTCTGCCTTAGTCACCCCGGCCGGCAAGTCCTACGAGTGCCAAGCGCAGCAGACCATTTCCCTTGTCTCAAGCGACCACCAGAAGTCAGTGGAGCTCTTGCTGTCCGAAGTCCGCGTTCAGCCCTTCGACATCAGCGCGGATTTTGTCTTCAGTGAAGGTGAGGCGCGGGCTGAGGGCCTGTCCCTGCGTCCCTCGGACGTTCACTGGGGCGATTTTGGTCCCAGCCTTGCTGAAGCATCGTCTCCTCCACCCTCCCGGTGGGTTGTTAGCCCTCGCTCCAGCCTCGTCCGCCTTGGTGGTCCCCAGAGGCCTTCACGAGCTCAACCCATTGCTCTGGGGTTGGCGGGGGGGGCGCAGCGAGGGGGAGGTTGAACAACTGTTGGTGAAACAGCTGTGAATCTGTTGAAGTAGGTCGGTTCTCACTGCATGCCTGTTGGCTTTTGTAAGGCCTCACCTAGCCGAGTTGCTAGCGAACGCCAGGGGCTGCCTGCTGCCTGGAGAGCGTTGCTGGTCGCCTTGCCATCGGTGAAGGACCTTTTGGCCCAGCTCCTAAGGGTCTTTTAGGCACCACTGCACGTTTAGGTCAGACCGAGGCTGCTGTGGGAGAAAACGCTCGCAGCGCGCATAGGCTGGCTTTAATTCGATTAAGGCACGTAGCAAGGGTGAAGGCACAGCAGCAGTGACTTCAGCGAGGGACCTGCCGGCGCTCTGCGTATTTTCTTGCTTTAGGCAAGAAGTTTCTGCTCTGGTCTCTGTCCTCGCGCTAGGCAGGTTACAGCTAAACACCTCCCCACGGCCCGTCTCTCCTCTCACGGCACCATAGCAGTTGATGGGGAGGGTAAGTGGTTAGTGGGGACGTGCGCGTGGGGAGCCGCTCGCGGGAGCCTGAGCAGGAGGGAGGCAAGCGAAGGCCAGAGGCAGCAGCTCAGCAGGAGAAGGCCTTCAAGCCTCACTGGTTTTTAGTCTTGTTTGAAATGATGAGATGCGCACCTCACAATTTACTTTTAGGAGTCATAAGCGCTTGGGAAGTGCCTTGTGGTCCAGACGGGGCGCCCCACGCAGGCGCAAGGCAGCAGACTGGGACTTGTAAAGGTCTAAGGGTCCCCTTGGCCACGGGCGTCCTCGGTGGCCTGGGGCACCTCACGCCCTCCCCCGGGCTCCTTTGCTTTCCTGGGTGGTGGGGGAAAGGCGAGTCGTGCGGAGGGCT